TTGGGGAAGGGACAATCATATATCTTATATGTCTCTATATATATTGGAGTCTTCTGTCTCTCCAAAAGGGCTCTTTAGATTAAGTCACAAACTCCACATATATCTTACACGTGCCACACATCGTTACAATACACCACTTTCTTAATTTCGTAATACCCATGATGATTCTTATAAGAGTTATCGGAAAGTTGCCATAAACCAAATATTGAGCGTTCACGTCCAGTTTGGGACGAAAAATGTGGATTTGAAAATAGAGTGAGTAACTTGTGTAAGTTGGGCATTCATGCCCAACCTACTAGGGGGTTGGGAAAAGCTAGGCAACACCTCCCGGACCCATGTCGGTTTGGGGCCCAAACGGAATTATGCTTAATATGTTTTATATAATACATATATTACAAAAATTTTGAATGTAGATGTAGATTTGGCTTGGACAAATTTCTTTTACTAGATTGGCCACGTTCGATTCCTATCTATGCATACTTCTTTAATTCTTTTTAATTATAACCCCAAAAGATAATAATATACGGAACCTTTTGAAAGGTTTCCTAATATAATATAAAATTGCTATATTACATTGGTCGGCGATGTTGACAGGATCAAGATATCAATTTGTTCTTTAACAATCTATAAAAAAGAATATAATACCGGCGCCCAAAGAATTTAGTTGAATTTCATATTTCTAAAGTTTACCTAAGGAATACTATTTATTATTTTACCTTTTAATATATTTAATCAATTATAGTTATACATTAAAGGACGTATTTTTCGGTTCAGTTCTTTTTTCGGTTTTTTATAAAGAAACAAAAACTGAACCTGAAATTCGGTCTTTTTAAAATCCCAAAACAGAATTTTAGGCTTTTCAAAATAGTTCGGTTAGTCGGTGACTTTGGTTTTGGTTGGGTATTAGTTTTCTTTGTACTCCCCGGAGTTGCATTGGGTGTAGCATTAAACAAAGTCCATTTTTTATATTTATAATTGCATAATATAGGGGGCCCAGTTTCGGGATCTTAAGTGTATTATAATATCACTGGTGTCAATCAAGCCCATGTAGTTGGTGACTGGCACAATACCGGCAAAAATATTTGTAAGTTTAAATACACGTTATATATTATTACAATACCAAGTGTTATAAATAGAATTTATACATACAAATGAACATGTTTGCTATAGTAGTTTAAAAAAGCTCAAATTCTTGATCAAGAAGTTGGAATGTCTCAAATACAGGCAACTTGAACATATCAGCCTTAGTTTAACCAATCTACAAACACAGAGGATACATAGTTAAACAAAGAATGTTGCAATGATTTCAGAGGTTTTAATTTAGTTGATAAAGTTTCAAAAAGAAGAAAGCAAAATCATCAAGAGGCGGAAGAAAGAATTACCAAGTGGAAGTTGGACAAGGAGGAGAAGCAATTTTCGTGATCCCTTCTAACATCAGCAACACGGACTTCATAGAGGGACGAAGAGCAGGTTCATCATGAATGCACCAAAGTCCGACTTTAACCAGCCTCTCCAATGCCGCCATATCCACTTGTTCATCACCAACAAGCAGATCCAGTTGCCCTATTTCAAAGCACTTGTAAACCCAAGTAGAAAGAACTATCTCTTCCGTATTCGATACATGTACTTCCAGGTTCCTTCTGCAACAAATGGTTTCCAGCAACACGATCCCATAGCTGAAGATATCGACCTTCACTGAGATTGGGACGTTTTTCTGCCACTCGGGTGCCAAGTACCTGTAAGACAGAAACACGTGGTGTGTCGATTTGAAGAAAACAGTAGTTGAATAAGTTTGGTGTTAGAGATTTAGTAGTATTGTTATCATACCCTCTAGTCCCTCGAACCATGGTGAATGTCTTGGTTTGATCTGGCATTAGTAATTTGGCCAATCCAAAGTCGGAGATTTTAGCAGTCCAGAAATCATCCATCAGAATGTTTTGGGGCTTTATGTCGCAGTGAATGATGGGTGTTTCACATTCTTCATGAAGGTAGAGGATTCCTCTTGCCACATCTAACGCGATTTGCACCCTTTCAGACCAGTTTGGAAGCGTTTCTGACCTAAATAACCGATCTGCAAGGGTTCCATTGCTCATGTATTCATAAACGAGAAGCCTCTCTTTACCTTCTGCACAATAACCGAAGAGGCGGACTAGATTCTTGTGATGTGTTTTGCCGATCACTTGCATTTCTGCTCGGAATTCCCTCTCACCTTCATCCACCACCTTCTCAAGTCTCTTCACTGCTATCACTTTGTTCCCTTTGTAGAAACGCCCTTTATAGACTCTTCCAAACGACCCTCTTCCTAGCTCATGCTTGAACCCATCGGTTGCCTTTTTAAGCTCCTTGTAAGTATATGATTGCAGGATGAGGTCCTCCGCTAATCCCAAACTTCTAGTTTCCAACAATCTCTTGTACTTTAGAAGACGGAATTTGAATACGAAATATCCCGTCAAACCTAGCGAAAAGCATGAATATATGGAAAAAACAACGCTCATAACAAGAATTATAACCCATGTCTTCTTGCCTGTGGTCAGCACTTTCTCAATCCTCTGTGTTGGCTCCAAAGAACTAGCATTAATGGATGCATTGGCTTGGACATTATAGAGGCTTACATTGGGCGTCTTGAAGAACATCATAGGCATGGTGGAATCATCGTCAACTCTTTTCACGTACCTAAGTGGGAACTTGTGTTTCTCACAGTTACCATTACTGAAAAAAGCTGCATCACAATTGCAATCCTCCAAACAGGAGTCGCTACAGCCCTCCTTGTTGTCGGGAGTGAACACAACGTAAGGATGATCATCACACACTAATCGCTCTTCGGGAACCATGTTGTAATATGTAATGTTTTCTTTCCCGCTTTTGCACATTGCTTTTGTTAAATTCCTTTCACAGCCCCTAGACTTCAAATCGGGGTATACAAAATCATAACCCGGCAGGCAAACACAATAGGGTTGTTCATCATTCATAGTGCAATAGCTGTTGAAGCCGCAGAAGTTCTTCACATTACAAGGAGGATCTGGCACTTTCCATACTATGGGAGGGGGGCGGGAGTTATAATTAGTATGGTTGTAAAGATACAGCCGTAAGATTCCATCATCACCGATTGTGACACGATATGTAACATTATAATTCGATTCAGCATAAAGATGCTTGATGATGTCTGAATCACTTCCATTGATAATGAGTAAGCCTGTATCATTCAGGTGCAGATAGTTGCTCGAAATCATATCATACTGATTGGTATTTGAAGCCCAGTATGCATTTTCGGAACCATCGTCCGTGTTCATTGGATACATAACAAGATTACCGTCCATCTGCATCTTAATACGAAAGCGTCCACTAGAGTAATTGGTTTTAGACACACTCGAAACCAATTCATTCCCACCAAAAAGACTCTGGCCTTGTAACAAAGTATCGGTAGGATAGTTGAAACTCTGCCATATTACACCCATTTTATCATCGTACAGTACAAAATTTCCAGTGTTGCTCATCACTGCATATGAAACGTTGGCTGCAATAGTCTTTTTAACCCCACCATCCTCACAGCTTAAAACCAATTCTCCTTCACGAGTAAGTGTTAGTGTGGCATTTGGTGAAACGGGTGGATCATCTCGATAAGCAGTCCACACAACCATATTTTCTCCGGAGCTCTCTAACCAGATTGCGACCACATAGCCAGTGTTTTGTTGATAAAACCCAAATGCAAACCTTTTAGACTGGGAGTACCATGCATTCGTAGCTTGTGTACCAGCAACAAGTGAGGATCCCAAGTCAATGGATCCTCCATCAACCTTTGTCTCCAGGAATTGAAAGATGAACAGAAAAACAAGCATTAATGAGGCCATGATCACAAGCTAGCTATACGGATAAGGTACTTACCTGTGAATTAAGACGATCGAGAGACGACAGCACTGGCAGGTTAATTTGGAGCATTTCCTTTCAATTATTTGAAACAAATCATACCAACTGAGACCACTAATTCTCTCTCTTCCTATTTTCCATTCAAATTAAATGACCGGCGAGTTTTCTCGTAATAAGTCTTCGTACAAGTCTTCGCCTTATAATTTACTTTTCCTTATCAGAAAAACACCAGCTAATAATATGGTTAATTAATTGTTTTATTTTGTTTTTTGTTTTTGAACAGCAAGAATTCGATTAAGACCAGCAAGAAGCTAGGAAAACGTAAACATTACATCCACATATCCCATTTTAAGTTCCCAACTTTTTACTTCTAAAACTACACCGCAAAAACGAGACATATATATATATATATATATATATATATATATATATATATATATATATATATATATATATATATATATATATATAATATATATATATATATATATATATATATATATATATATATATATATATATAAAACACATCTGAAGCTAGATGAGGGATACTTTTATAAGTGCTCTTGAAGCACATGTCACAAAAAGGTCTTATGACAACTTCAAATTTACGAATTTGAAACACCGACCAATTAATTGTTGCTTTTTTATACAATATATAAATAATTAATGGTCAATAATTAAATAATGAATCTGTTAATTAAAATATAAAATATTAATTTATAGATAAAAATATATCAAACCGAATTAACCGAATTAACCAAATATTATATTTGGGTTTACGTTTGTTTCCAATTTTTATCCTACTCCTGGTGACAGCTACTCATGTTTGGTTTTTATGTAAAGAAGCCCCGCTGTTATCACATATCCATTTCGTGAGTTCCTTTTCCCTGCTGATGTGAGTGTTGTCTACTTTTCATCGCGAATATTTGTTGTGGACCATGAATGGTCGCATTTTTTCCACACGCTTTCTGGATTAGAATAGACATGACTGAATTCTTGTACATTGGTAGTAAATATATTTAGGTCTCAAGATAAAAATATCGATCTATCATTTTACTTCAATTCGGTTTCTTCTTATTTTGCTGATTTGGTGCTCTTATAGCATCTCACTCTCACCTCTCTAATATGGCCTTCATGTTACTTATCTTCCTGAGACTATTCTTTGTTTTAGTAATTACCCAAGGATCTGACTTCACCTCCTGTGATATTACCTTAGGTTCCTCATTGATCCCAGACACAAACCCTTCATGGCGCTCACCTTCTGGCCTTTTTGCATTTGGTTTCTACCAGCAAGATGATGGTTTTGCAGTTGGGATATGGCTCGCAAGCAAACCAGAAATCACAGTTGTTTGGACTGCAAATCGTGATGACCCACCCGTCTCTACAAACAGTAGTATTGAGCTCACCGGAGATGGTTGGCTGCTTCTCCACACTACTGACGGTGAGGATAAAAACATCACAAGTCAGAATTTTCAGGCGACCTCAGCTTCTATGCTGGATTCGGGTAATTTTCTACTCTACGATCAATCTAGTGTCATATGGGAAAGCTTTGATTACCCTTGTGATACAATATTAGGAGGGCAAAAACTAGTTATAGGGGATCAGCTAGTCTCTAGTGTCTCTGCTTCTCAGCACACGAGTGGAAAGTTTTTTCTTGTTTTCCAGGGTGATGGAAACCTTGTGGCTTACCCTCAAATAAAGACGAGGGGCAGCATTGACTCATACTGGTCCAGTGGAACGTATAATTCATATTATAAGTATTTGAACCTCAGCCCTACTGGGTCTCTGTCCATGGTGGGGTTTGGTGTCACAGAGAGGGTATTGAATTTAACAAGGAGCCTAGAGTCGAGAAAGAACGTCGACACAGTAATCTTCCGTGCTACTCTCAATTGGGATGGTAACTTTGTTTTGTATTCCCACAGATTCACAAGCCCCTCAAGTAACTTGACTAGCATAATGAAAATGGAATGGGCAGCCTTACAGGATCCGTGTGATGCCAAAGGAATATGCGGTTTTAACAGTTACTGCAGTTCTAGCACTTCCGGGAATTTTCAGTGCCATTGCTTTCCTGGTTTCTTATTTGTCAACGGGACAAGAAATGTCACGTCCAACGGCTGTTACAGAAACTTCACCGATGAGGAAGCCTGCAACCGGAAATTAGGACTACAACTTTCCTACAATATTACTGTATTGGACAATATGATGTTGCTTGCACACTACGCTTACAGCTCGGTGATGAATCTTAGCAAGGATGGTTGTGGCCAATCTTGCTGGGATGATTGCAACTGCTGGGCGGGTCTGTTTGCAGAAGATGGTAGTTGCAAAAAGCTCAAGGTTCCCATCGTTTATGCAGTGCTTAATAAAAGCAGGTTAACCGCAGTCTTCATTAAAACTAGTTTCCCATATAAAGAAGTCAAAGAACCACATTTACGAGGCTCAACGAACATAAATGTAATCGTGGCTGAAAGGAAAAAACTTGTTTCCATTCTAGGCATAACACTTGGTTGCATTGCTCTTATGTGTTCGGTGTTGGCATTCTCTGCTTTCTTCTTCTACAGAGTGCATGCTCATAGGTACCAAGCGATATCAGAAAATGTTGATAATGGGTTTTATAGAGATCATTTTTCTCTACGAGCATTCACATTCGACGAGCTTCAGAAAGCAACAGATGGTTTTAAGGAAGTGATAGGCAGAAATTCTTATGGGGAAGTCTATAAAGGCTTTATTTCAGATGGCAGCAAGGCTGTTGCTGTGAAGAGACTGGAAAGGATGTTTGAAGGAGAAGGACGGTTTCGAGCAGAAATTACTGCTATCGCTCAAACTCATCACCGCAACTTGGTCCGTTTACTTGGTTTCTGCATACAGGGAGCTACAAAGCTACTTGTTTATGAGTTTATGAGCAACGGCTCACTGGAAGATGTTCTCTTTAACGCGGAAGCACCACCTGGATGGAAACAACGTGTCGGAGTGCCACTGGATGTGGCAAGAGGAATCTTGTATCTTCACGACGAGTGTGAAGCTCGTATAATACACTGCAATATAAAGCCTCATAATATTCTCTTTGATGAGGCTTGGACTGCTAAGATCTCTGATTTTGGGTTATCAAAGCTTTTGAGGTCAAATCAGAGCGGAACCCTCTTGAGTGTCGGTGGTGAGCGTGATGGGGGAACAAGAGGATACCTCGCACCTGAGTGGCACAAGAACACGTTGATCTCCACCAAGGTTGATATCTACAGCTTCGGGGTTGTACTTCTGGAGATTTTGTGTTGCAGAAATAGAATGGAGATAGACGTTCTTTCTACTTGGGTTTACAACTGTTTTGTAGACAAAGACTGGAGTAGGCTGACGGGAGATGAAGAAGTAGATGTCAACATGTTGGAAAAGATGGTGAAAGTTGGACTGCTGTGCATTCAAGATGATCCAGATGCAAGGCCTTCTATCAAGAATGTTATCCTGATGTTAGAAGGAACTGCTGATATTCCAATCCCTCCATCACCAACTTCTCCTCATTTGATCTTAGTTTGATCGGTATCTTTAATTTGCCTTTTGGGTTTTATTTGAAATATTGCTTGTTGTCATTCATCCAGAGACAAAGCCAAAGCCATATCCTTTCTATTTACCATGTAATAATTATTTAATGGAAGAGATGCTTACCTAGCTAAAAATGAAAGAAATCCTCCTTCATGAAAGAGAACAGATGTAAAACTCCTCCTTCAAGAAATAAATCCTTGAACGAGAGCTCTTTATTCGTGATTAAGTACACCTTGGGCCGATCTTGGTTTTTGGAAGGTCTACCAATAAGGCCACGAGGTATGGGCTTCATTTCACGTAGGAATCCTATGCGGATCCTATGTGGAATACAACCTCTAATAGGTGTAATGGTGGTGTGGATTGAAGCCACTCACAAGTTCTCACAACCAATCAAAATCATTTACCTCTCTCTCTCTCTCTCTCTCTCTCTCTCACCATTTTCAACCCATATTGAATGCTTTGTGAATAAATCTTGATGATAATGTGGAGAGATGTTCACCCCTTTACCATACCCAATGACCTAATAAAAACTATTTACTAACTTCACCAATACCAAAGTCCATTTCCCAAATTATTGTTTGCTTCATATTTTCATATTTATATTTCAATTTATATTTTTAAAGGCTTTATTTTTAATATTAATTTTTAATATTTTTATTTGTGTTATATATTTTTTTGATGAAACCTAAAACAATGAAAAAAAAATTAAAATAATCTATTCATATATTTTACATCAACTATTATATATATATATATATATATATATATATATATATATATATATATATATATATATATATATATATATATATAGTTGATGTAAAATATATGAATAGATTATTTTAAAAGACTTCAAATATATATATATATATATATATATATATATATATATATATATATATATATATATATATATATATATATATATATATATATATATATATAAATAAGATCAAAGTTAAATAAAAAGACTTCAAAAATAAAAAAATTAAAAAAATAGACAAAACCAATGTACTATTAAAAATACTAGCCGTTACCCGCGTACAGCGGCGGGGACAAATAGCTTCTTTCAACGATATTTTTTTTTTTAAAAAAAAATGTTATGTTCCAAAAGAAAGTTCATGTCGTGGGTGAGAGGAAGGGCAGTAGTCGTGATAGTGGTTAGTTGAAGGCGGAAGGAGGCAGATCGGCTGTGGTGGTGGTGGTTATACTGTCTTGGTTACTGGTTAGGGTTCTTCGAGAGAGTGTGCGTATATTTCTTACTTTGAAGGGATTACGAAGATAGATATTATGAGATGGCTTGTTACCAATGTGAGAGAAGAGATCCTCTATAAATTGTTGATATTGACCGCTTCAAATGGCTGAAGTGTTGAGATTGACGAGTTCAATTTGCAAATGAATTCTTCTATTAATTGGATACCAGATTTTTAGAGGATAAATGATAGGGTTAAAGTTTTAATATTATTATATTATAAATGAGTTGTACTTCAAGCTTAATAGTTTGGACGTCTTAAAAAAATAATATTATTATATTCAATCTATTTATAGAAATAGTTAGATTTCTTTTATAAGTAGTAAAGATAAATATCAAAAAACTATTATCCAAATCTCTTGCTTTATAATACCCTAATTATTCTACAACCACTTTGTTTTTCCAAAGGGGTTGGCTAAAAAGAAACCTTATTTTACCATTTAGACAACCTTAATTAATTTTTGAAATATTTTTATTGGTTGAAATTGCATTGTTTTTCGAAAAAACTGATTATAAGTAGTTGATTATAGATTGACTTTTTATAAAAATGATGATTGGGTGTCTAAGGGGTGTCTTATTAGGCTTGAGCCTTGAGCGAGTGGACTCGTCACCCCTCTCGTCAAACAAGATGCTAAGATATCAAGCACCACTCCTTTGGATTTGCAAAGGGAGGTGTTCAGAAGTTTGCACCAAGCAAATAGCGAGAGGAAACAAGAGACAGAAGATGTAATGGTTTATTATGATTGGTTCATAGCTATTGTTATTTTATCTTTTT